AAAGAATTTCAGACAAGAGAAATAACAGGAGCGAAAACCCTGAGCAGAGGGAAACTGATCATATAGTAGAACAGACAGAGGCATTGAGGCTGGGATGAGAAGGAGGAATGTGGGAGGGACAGTCTGAAACTTACATCCCTCAGGATGTGGACCTGCTGGGGGTCAGAATAGTGAGCATCTCTGAGAACCTGGTGTGTCCTGTGTCTGTTCTCAACCCTTCATATGCATCCAGCCATTTAATCATCTCGACTACGCCATGAGTTTAGGAATTACAGGGTCCCCACTTTTCAGCTATGGAAATGAAGCACTTAGAGGCTATAGTAAGTGGCCCAAATTCACCTGGACCACCCTAGCAGCATCTGGTTGTCTCCAGTTATCAGATGGGAAATGCAGGCTTACATTTGACAAGCCCGTGGTGTCATAGTCCCGCCAGGTTCCAAATCAGCTGCTGACCCTGCAGTGCTCTGCACCCAGCCTCCCACTGGGGCTTCCAGGTGCTTGTGACCAAGACACTCAGCAAAAAACAAACTGGCCCAGGAGTCTGCCTCTTCCTCTCTGTTTCTCTCTCATTCACTCGCTCACAATCTGTTTGCCTCTCCCTCTAATCACAGACATCAGGCATCAAAAGTATGACAAGAAAAAGAATGACAGGAAGTGTTGGGAGCTGGGAGTGAGGGGCAAAGAGTGCAGGCTCAGAACAAGAAACTAGCCCATCACAGTGAGACAGAGGCTCTCACCCTCCTCTCCTGTCCAGCCCCTCAGGGCATCTTCCACCCTCCCACCACCCACAGGAGCTGCAGGTGCAGGAACCACAAGGTGGCTCTGGGGCTGGGTTGTCTACACCTCACAGAAAGGAATATCCACCTCCCCACCCTCACTCCTTGTCCCCTTATTGAGAGAAGAACCCTGAGCCCAGAGGAGAGAGAGGACACTTAGGCTGACTGAGGAGACACTGATTGCTGTGGGAAGGGTGGGCTTTAGGATCAGAGAGAAGTCCTAAGTAATCATTTCTCAGCAAGTAGCCACAGGAAATTCAGAAAGAACACATCTAACCTCACCAGATACTAGGAAATGTTTTCATGATTTAAAAACCATGCCACATACCCATTCTTCCTCATATCCTAGATTGTGTCCTTTTGGCCAGTGTTCCCAAGTTCCAGGAGGATGGCCAGGTTGTCCCACATAAGCTACAGAAAGTGATAGAGACAGAGACTGACTATTTAAAGATGCCAACAGGAGAAAGATGGGGAGATGCAGAACTGGGGTCCCCACCCAGGAGGGCCCCAACCACCAGAGTCCTTCCCTGCCATAATCCCCTCTTCCTGTTGTCACCTGAGTGAGGCAGGGCCCTTACCTGGGATAGACCCTGGTGATGGGAGAGGTAGGGCACCGAGATGTCTTGCTCATAACCTTCAACTTTCATCAAACCTGGTCTGGGGGCCTGATGACTCAGGACAGCAGAGCTCAAGTCAGGGCCAGAAGGTGCAGTTGGGGCCACAGAGGTGGGTCCGGTTGAAGGGCAGGATAGTGTCATCATCACAGCATTGCTCCGAGGGGTTGTACATCCAGTGCCCACACCTGGGTGCTTGCTGGCACAGCCACAGGTCAGCGTTCATGTGGGCCCCTAGAGAGAAATTGCTGGTGACTTCAAGGAGAACCAGGCACTATCTCCATGCCCTGAATCAGGAGCCTCTTTAAAACCACTTCCCAAGGGTAGCTTCATCCCTCTTCATTCCCCCCACCTGACACCTACCTGTACCTGACTTTGAGCACTGGAGGACGAGGAAGACTAATATGCAGATGAAACCTGGAGAAGAAGGAAGGAGGGTTAAGTCTGAGGATGGGATTGTGGACCTCAAGAAGGGCAGGCCAGTACGGGGAAGCCTAGTTTCACATTTGTTTTAAAGGTTTGGATTTGGGGTTATCTCTGCATAGGGTCTAGTTCCTGACACAGGTAGGAGTACAGAAAGCTGGACCTGGGCAGCCTGGACTCTATAAAGGGAGAGAATGTGGGGGAAATTCTTTGAACCATAGCTTAGAATTCTAAAAATGCAGTGAAGTTTCCCAGTTGGGAGAAGGTCGGAACAGGTATTAAAGATATCAATAAAGTGACTTGGAAGGAGAAAGGAAGCTGAGGTTAGATGGGGGGCGGGGGGGTGTGGAATTTGGGTGCATGGTTGCTTTGGGGAATATAATTGGGTTTAAGTAGATCTTGGAGTTGGAGCTCTCCTGTATTTCAACTACTGGACAACATGACTTCGGATAAAGTTTGAGAGATAAAGGACATTAAAATAAACACAACATTGTTGAAAGTGAAGCAAATACATAAATAAACTGAAATACATCCATGTTCATAGACTGGAAGACTGCAGAAATTAACAATCTGATCTTACAACTTGCATTGAAATGCAAAGGACCTGAGTTACTTCAAAGGAATGACAGCATGAAAGAGAACTTGACCTCTCCCCCTGAAATGTCAACAGGTTAGCCAACTATAATTCAACAACGAAATCCCTGCTCAACACAGACCCATGCCTGAGGGACCCATGCATTGGAACATCTAAAGGTGGGCAACCAGGAATAAACAGGGAAACGAGAAGGGAGAAAAGTGCAGAAGGCACAGAGAAGCCCTGCAGCTGAGAGCTTGTGGCTCAACTGGGAGAGGGAGGAAGTGGCAGTAGCAGGTGCTTCCTTCTGCTAGGAGGA